CATTTGGTTCATTGCCCATTGAGATATTCATTGGTTATCACAGATTGCCTCCATGCCTTGGCAAAAGTCCAGACGGTACGTAGACAATTTATACTTCAGCATTGGCTGTTGCCACCCACATGAGCCCTGAGACTATGGCTCCATTCCCTTTTTCAGCTTCATTTCCCAGAGAAAAGTAGAGCGAGCTATCCTTTCTTCTCCATATGTTCTTTCCCAGCCCCAAACACTTTGATGTGTCATCTTAGTTGATTGGAAGGGAGCTTAGAATCAATGAAGGGTATTAACAGTGGATTTGCACATTTCCTTTTTTATTTCTACACCTTGTTTATTTTCAAAAACAGGTTTTAACTTTATTACATTTTTCTGAATAGTACTGCTGGAAGAGAATATATATATTTGTTTTTTCAGTGTACTATATACTGCTTTCACTTCTTTCAAAAATTTCTTTTGTCGTTTTTAGCTTTATCTTAAAAAATAGCTAACGATTATCATTATTCGTGGTTGGAAAAAATAAAGCATCCATTTATATTTCTACTCTGCAGAAGTTTGAATATATAATACATATATTTACAGTTTTTAACTCACTTTTACATACGTTGCTACAATGTAAAATTTTACTTTAACACAGCTTAAAAGTGATACCGCCAATGTGGCACTCTTACTGCTTTTGATATTATCCCAGATTCTGTGATAGTAAAGCTAGCTGGCAAACAGAAAGCTTGTGGTGTGGTATGTCCAACAGAATTTGACTTTCATAATTTGCCTCCACCTTTTAGCCCTGAGTGATTCTGAAAGTTCACTTGAATGATATCTTATTTTGCAGATGTATCTTTGGTTTTATAAAATTTTTACTTTCTGATAAATGCAGTTTTATAAAGAAAGTGAAAGTAGCTTATTTGAAGCAGTTTACAGACTGTGGAGTGAGAAGTGATGTCCAAAGATTATAAAGCCAAACTCGTCCATTCACCTTGGAAGGTGGGCTACTGTCATGATCTTGAAGGTGTCCAGGAATAAAAGATACAGTCTTTCAGTGGTCTGTCAGTTGAGTCAGATACTTATAAATTGTTCTTTATTTCCTAAATTTCATTTTTGCAATTTATTTTATTCTTTTTCTTTTAAGAGACAGAAGGGCCAAATTAATTCTTTGGGAAATTACCCTTGTTGATTTATCTCGGGGCCCATTTTGAAATGAAGTGTATATGATAAGAGAGCTGTCTCATTTAAAAATTTTGCATTAAAGTTTGAGATTTGTGCAGTTGTAAATTTTGTTTTGCAACAGATTTATACTTGTGGTAGGTGAAATATTTGAATAAAGAAGTGATATGCTAGATAATTATTTTTTCCCCACATTGATAACATGACCTGTACTTTAGCACTTTGTGTTACATTTCCCAAGATGAATCCGATTTGTTGATTCCTGGTATAGCAGCACTAGGAGCATGTGCTGCAGACACACCTTATTTATTTTAATACATGTTTTGTTACTCTTCCCCAGAAAATATTTTGTTCAGATAGTTCTGTTATTTCTTGTTCTTGAGTGCAAGTTCCTCCTTTGAGTGAGTCTGCTTACTGACTGTCCTTCATCGTGGTTCTTTTTCTCTTGTAGTCTGTGAGTTTTTACTGTGCCGTATGTTTAGTTAGGGTTTAGTCCATCCTGTGTGGTGGAAGCCTCCCTGCAGAGATTTCATATCTGCCCCTATCAGCTTCTGAAGTTTTACCAATTCAGGACTACTTTTTATTTTTCCTTTTTTTTTTTTTTTTTTTTTTTGACTTAGGGATGGAGTGGAGAGTCTAAATCATGAAGGTAGCGTGAATTTAGGCCCATGGTCTATTTTAAGCATGATATATGCTTAATAGGGTCTGATTTCCCACTAGCAACTTTGCTGTATTTCCTAAATTGATGTCCTGTCTCTTTAGGCTTCTTGGCCATTGAGCTAAGTTTTTATATACCTGGTTTCACAGAGAGGATGATCTTCCCTAATGTTTGGCTTTATGAAGATCTTCCAGATGTCACCACTGCTTTGAAATAACCTCTCTGAATGGGTGTTAGAAAGTTCTCTTATAACCATTAAGGCCTATAACTTGTTCCAAGAGTTGTATTAGCTTCAACCCCTGCTCTGTGCTGTTTGACTGTTTCTCACAACTGTGGATTTTCCTCACTTGTTTCAAGCTCAGTTCTTTCATTACTGTTTTACTGGTTATACTTCAGTGTGTTTGGATCTGGCTGGGATTAAGAGGCACAAGAATGCTGTTATATAATTTTAAATTATTTTAGATTTTTATAGTGTTTTTTGTTTGCTAATCACCTTTCTGTCAACATGACAGTATTTTGTGCCTACCATGTACTTAGTACTTTGAGAAATGAAGATCTTTGGCTGGATTCCCTCCTTCAAGAAACTTAGTTCTAATGTAGACCCTTGTGGAGCTAAGGTATATATCTGATACAAAGGTGGTGTCAGAGACTAAACATAGTGAGTAAAGTGGCTGGAAAAGAAATAACAGAGAGGCAGACAGACCTAGAGAAACATAGTGTTTAGAGGTTGACTAAGTTTACTGGGTTAGACAAAAAGACATGGGTCTAGCTTGAGGAAGACCTTGGAAGGTGAAACTGAAGAACTTAGATTATGTTTTATAGGTAAGAAAAAATTATTGGAGGCTTTTGAGTGGCAGGGGCATTTAATGTATTAGTCTTAGTGCTAAAGTTTTGAAAGGCTTACACGTTACTAAAGAAAAGTTATGCTTTCTTAGGAGAAGTTAAACTCAGGACTTTATAGGTACAGACATGAGTATTTGAATTCCTTGTTTGTGTAGACAAGAGGTTACCTACTCAATGTGGACAGGGGTTAAGCCTCTGTTGTAAACTAATGGAGTTGGCTGGGAACAATGGTGGCCACCTGGAGAGCACAGGCCTCTTCTAACAGGGGGTCCTCTTGATTTTTTTAAGGGTTGCAACCTAGTGAAACTTTCAAAAAATACTGTTTGAATATGGTATTGGCAAAAATATAGACATATAGATCAATGGAACAGAAAAGAGAATAGAATAGAGAGCCCAGGCCATATGGTCAATTAATCTATGCCAAAAGAGACAAAACTGTACAGTGGGGAGTAAACAGTCTCTTCAATAAATGTTGCTGGGAAAACTGGACATCTACATGTAAAAGAATGAAACTGGACCACTTCCTAACACCATACACAAAATGGATTAAAGACCTAAATGTGAGACCTGAAACCATAAAAATCCTAGAAGAGAACCTAGGTAGTAATTTCTTTGACTTTGGCTAGAGCAACATTTTTCTACATATGTCTCCAAAAGCAAAAATAAACCATTGGAACTACATCCAAATAAAAAGCTGTTGCACAGCAAAGGAAATAACAAAAAGGCACCCTACTGAATGATAGAAGATACTTACTTGCAAATCATATATCCAATAAGGGGTTAATATCCGAAAGATATGAAGAATTCATGCAACTCAGTACCAAAAAAACCAGTCTAATTAAAAAATGGGCAGAGACCTGAATAGTCATTTTCCAGAATAATAGAAAATATACAGATGGCCAACAGGTACATGAAGAGATGCTCAGCATCACGAATCATCAGAGAAATGCAAATCAAAACCACAATGAGATCACCTTACACCTGTCAGAATGGCTAAAATCAAAAAGACAAGAATTAACAAGTGTTGGTGAGGATAGGAGAGAAAGGAACCATCATGCCCTGTTGGTGAGAATCTAATTGGTATAGCCACTGTGGAAAAGAGTATGGAGGTTCCTCAAAAAATAAAAAATAGAAATACCATATGATCCAATAATTCTACTACTGGCTATTTACATAACAAAAACAGAAACACAGGAAAAGGTACATGCACTTCCATGTTCTTTGCAGCATTATTTATAATAGCTACGTTATGGAAGCAACTTAAGTGTCCATTGTTAGATGAATGGATAAAGAAGATGTGGTGTGGTGTACATAATCACACATACCCTCCCATACACACAGAGGAATATTATATGGCCATAACAAAGGATGAGATCTTGTCATGTGTGACAACATGGATGGACCTAGATGGTATTATACCAATTGAAGTAAGACAGAGAAAGACAAATACCATATGACGTGACTTATATGTGGAATCTAAAATGAATAAACAGAATCAGACCTATAGATACAGAGAACACTGATAAAGTTGCTTGAGGGAAGGGGTTGATGGATGGGCTAAATAGGTGAAGGGGAGTGGGAGATACAGGTTTCCAGTTATGGAATGCATAAGTCATGGGAATAAAAGGCACAGCATAGGGAATATAGTCAGTGATACTATAATAGCATATAATGGTGACAGATGGTAGGTACACTTTGGGTGAGCATAGTATAAATGTATAGAGTATAGTGTAGAGATGCTGAATCAGTATGTTGTACATCTGAATGTAATGTAACATCATGTGTCAACTATAATCAGAATTTTTTTTAAATAAAAATAATGAGATAAAAAGTACTGTTTGGTCCCCGTAACATTTGTCTGCCCACATACTTTGACCCATAAGTTATAGATCTGTAGTGTTTATATAGAAAGGGGTCATTATATCTTTATTACATTCTATCATGCATTTTAATTTTTCATTAAAATATTTTTAATGTTTATTTATTTTTGAGAGACAGAGCATGAACAGGGGAGGACTAGAGAGAGAGGGAGACACAGAATCTAAAGTAGGCTCCACGCTCTGAACTGTGAGCACAGAGCCCGACGTGGGGCTCGAACTCATGAACCATGAGAACATGACCTGATCTGAAGTCAGACGCTGAGCCACCCAGGTGCTCCTGTCATGAAATTTTAAAGTAAATTATTCAGAATTGTCCACAAGATTCATAAATATGTGCAATTTGAAAGTTCTATATCTAATAACTATGTTTATCTGTTTGTCTAAAAGATGATCTATAATCTTTTGGGGATATTTAACTTCCTAAGTTGGAAATAAAAGTATCTTCTAAAACTCTGATCTTATAGGTGAAAGAATGTGACATTTCAACATTTGAACCTGAAATCAGCATGCAGTTTTCAGGCCACATGGATGAATGCCAACTTTTACATTTCCTGTGTGTATCCTGTGACCATTCTCTCTGGGGTGAGTGATTTCTAAGAGTGCCTGGCAGCAAACCAGATGCCAGCCAGCCACGGCCTGCCCTAACAAATACTGCCACGAGTTATAAATTAAACACTGTCTGGTGATCTGTGATGTGTAAGGCAGTTAATTTAGTTGGTCTGGATTAACTGTCAGCTCCAGAAAACTATATTCCCATAATGTGAAACCTGTACTTAGCACGTATGGAGGTGAGTAATAATTAACAATAGGGAATAATTTGTTAAAATGTAAAGTTATAAAATGCTTTAAGGTTCTTTTGGATTCACAGCAGTGTTTTAAGGGTTCACCATATATTTTAAATAATTTTAATTTTAAAAGTTCAAGGTTTTAGTATTTTTTGACAGATAGAACTTTGTACGCAGTAGAGTTTTTTGGATCATATATACCTTCCATTGCCTTATAACATCAGTTTTGCTTCCCATATAGTATAGAATTGTATACATTTTCAGTATTTAGGTTTCTCAAAAACACATTTGATAAGTTAATGCCAGAGATTCACATTTACTGTGAATTTGCTTTTTTAGTTTCATTCTGGGAAATTATATTGGGGGGGAACCTGATTATTACCTTATCCATGCACTTTTCTGCTTACTTAAATTATTTTACTTTACCAAGCCATTCATTTTTTTTAGAACATCCTTCAAAGAGTTCATGCGTCTTACTGAGGACACCTGACCTTTTGAAGCTTCATAATTCACACCTAGATGTCACCAGTCTTTCCCATGTTAACAGTTCTGACTATGTTTTATTATATATGCCTTCGGCGCCGAGCGAGGACAGCTACAAGAGGAGAAATGATGAACAGCCATAGAACTATAGAATCAAACAGCCGGACTTCCCCTCTCAACACAGAGGTGGTCCAGTATGCCAAAGAAGTAGTGGATTTCAGTTCCCATTATGGAAGCGAGAATAGTATGTCCTATACCATGTGGAATTTGGCAGGCATACCAAATGTATTTCCAAGTTCTGGTGACTTCACTCAGACAGCTGTATTTCGAACTTACGGAACATGGTGGGATCAGTGTCCTAGTGCTTCCGTGCCATTCAAGAGGACGCCGCCTAATTTTCAAAGCCAAGACTATGTGGAACTTACCTTTGAACAACAGGTGTATCCTACAGCAGTTCATGTTCTGGAAACCTATCATCCTGGAGCGGTCATTAGAATTCTGGCTTGTTCTGCAAATCCGTATTCTCCAATTCTACCAGCTGAAGTAAGGTAAGACTCAGTTTTTAATGACCAGGTTTTATGGCTGAAAGGTTTTGGGATGTTTTAATATTGGAGGTCTTTTTTTAATTCTCAAGTAATTTAAACAAATTGGATTTTTAAAAATTTCCTTAGTTTTCTAATAGGGAAAGAAAGATCACATATTTGAAGATATAATGAATTCTATGTGACTATAACACCTTACACTATAGCATTCATAGATTTTGAGATTTGTGTGTCACAATTTACTATAAACAAGATGTGTGATTTGAACTAATTGGGACGTGGGCCAATCTGAGAAGTTAGTAGGCTATATGACCTGTAACATATTTTCAAACAAGTATCATATGATTGCTTTTACATACAGTGAGTAATTCAAAGTAGGTCTATAGAGTGATACTTGAGGTGGGGTATTTAGGGGATTAGCTTTAATGTTAGGGGGATGTTTTTGTAACAAGCATATTCATTTAAAAACAAATGTTGCTTTGAGAAATTCATGCATTCTTTCTAAAAGACTATTTACATCAATTTGCATAGCAGTACCTCTCTTTTTTTGGAGTTCAGCCTCCTGTGTTTTAAAAATATAATTGTTTGGGACGCCTGGGGGGCTCAGTCTGTTAAGCTTCCGACTTGGCTAAGGTCATGATCTCACAGATAGTGAGTTCCAGCCCCTTATCAGACTCTGTGCTGATAGCTCAGAACCTGGAGCTTGCTTTGGATTCTGTGTCTCCTTCTCTCTCTGCCCCTCACCCGCTCACACCCTGTCTCTCTCATTCTCTCTCTCTTTATCTCTCAAAAATAAACATTAAAAAAATTTTTAATAAAGAAAATAAAAATATAATTATTTGAGCAGGTAATATATTCACACAGTTCAATAATCTAAAAAGTACATAATGTAGTGCCTTAGACCCATCCTTCCTCAAAGAAACCACTTTTATCAACTTCCTTACTTTTTTCCAGAGTTTATGTGGATATAAGCTAATACAAATATATTATTTTCTGTATACACAAAGTAAGCATACAGTTCACATTGTCCTATACCATGTTTCATTTAGTAGTACCTATACCTTTTCATATAAGTACAAAGAGAGAGAGGTTCCTCATTCTTTTCTACAGTTGCAAGTAATGTACAGTGCATATGCATCTCGACTTAACCAATCGCCTTTTGATGGGAACTTAATTTTTCTATGCTTGTGCTATTATGAGCATTAATGCAATGAATAACCTTGTCATGAATCACCTCACACATGTGGAAATATGTCTGTGGGTTAAGTTACCAAAAGACTTGCGGAGCTAAGGGTCTGTGCATTTGTAATTTTGATATATAGTGCCAAAATCTCTTCAAAGAGACTCTGTTTATATTTCTACTGGCAATGTATGTGCAAACATGTTTTGCCAAAGCCTCACCTACAGAGTATGGTAATTTTAATATTTTTGCCAATTTGGTAGGTGAAATGTTACCTCATATGAACCTTAGGTTAGAGTACTTGTATTATCTCCAAGGTTGAATATGTTTTCATGTTTAAGAACCATTTAGGTTTCCTTCTCCTTGAACTATCTGATCATATTATTTGCTCATTTTTCTATTACTTGTTGATATTATCAGTTTTTAGATCTTTATATCACTTTATTCATTCATTTATTAAATATTTGTGTGTGTCTACCATGTGGTAAGCATTGTTTTGGGTATTGGGGATACATCGGTGAACAACGAACAAAATAGACAGAAAGCCCTGCCCTTTTGAGTGTATTTTAACCCCAGAGCAGCTTGTGGGCACCTGCTAAATTGTAAGACTCCAGCTGCCAGTGGAGGAGGAATGGGGACAGGGGTCAGTTACCACTTGACACGCTGCTTCCTTGAAGACCCTTGCCCCCTCAGCTCTAAGGGAATACCTCCCTAGTGTCAGGAAATAAATACAGAGGATGGCTCACCTCGAGCTGGAGGTTGCTGGAATAATCTCTATTTGTTCTTTTCAAAATGACCTCAGCAATTCATTGTGAATAATAGTACTAATGAATTTGTTTTGTTTTGTTTTTTTAACACAAAACCAGCATTCTTTAATATACAGATTGATTTTTTTCCCCCAAGGGAAGAGTCTTTTGGGCAGGATCCTTTTTTTTTAATTTTTTTTTTTTTACATTTATTTATTGTTGAGAGACAGTGAGACAGAGCATGAGTGGAGGAGGGGCAGAGAAAGAAGGAGACACAGAATCTGAAGCAGCCATTAGGCTCTGAGTAAATGTTCAGCACAGAGCCCGATGCGGGGCTTGAAGCCATGAACCATGAATGAGATCCTGACCTGAGGTGAAGTCAGACGCGTGACTGACAGAGCCACCCAGGCACCCCCAGGATCCTTTCTTATGTGAGAATTGTTTAATTCGACTCTATCATTCTTTGTCTTTTTCCTACAAAGTTATCCACTTTTTTCCTAAAAAGCTAAACAAATTTGGGAATAAGATCTATGAAACATGTAGTATCTTTAATCTAAAACATAATGTCTGCATAACTGATTTTGAGTGTAAGTCATGCTCTTAGCTGAGAGTTGGAGTGTGTGGTTCAGATTAAAGTGACAACTTTATTTATAGATGTATCTCTAATTTGTTTAACTGAATTTTATCTTTATTCCACAGAAAATACCATCACATCTTAAGAGAAGAATAATTTAACCAATATGTATTATTGCAAAATAAAAAAGGACCTTTAAAATTTTACTGAGTATGAAATCAATAGGTATTTCAGTGTTTAAAAAAAAAACTTGTTATAAAATATTAAGAAAGAAAACATACAGGAAACAAAACCTCCACAATTCTCCCCAGGTTCAGTAACTGTTAAGATTTTGGTGAATTTATTTAAACAGTCAGAAACATTGAACCCCTTCTCTGCCAGTTCACTTCTGGGAACAAAACAAAGAACCAGACAAACATGGCTCTTTTCTTTAAGTTTATAGGTCAGCCTGGAAGAAGACCATGAGATCACACGGAACATGTGTTGGTGGTGCGAAGATCAAATCTGTAGGGCTCAAAGTCTTCCCTGAGGAAGTAAAATAACTGAGAGCTAAAGGTTGAGTGAGGCTTTAGTTTGGATGGGAAAGGTGGGGAGAGAACCACATGTGCAAAGGTGAAATCATGAGATGAGATCTTGATGTTTGAAGAACTTTCTGAAAAAAGGTGCAAGAGTGTAGAGAACAAGCTAGTGAGGGGCCACAAGCATGAAAGTACCATTCTTAAGATCTAGCCTAGAGGTTTCCACATTTTGGGACTCACAGGGCTCTTGGATCCAGTTTTCCAGAAGCAGACTTTGAAGACTGCTGTTATGCAAATGATTTGCTCTGGAAGTGCTCCTGGAGAAGCCAGGAGAGCTAGGGAGAGGAAGAAGTCAGGCAGGGATATGCTTTCACGTGAAGTCCCAGTCTGTGTGGAGGAAGAGTTATTAGTGAGCTGGGCTCTTATACTGCCCACACCTGTCTGTCTTGGGCTATGGCCAGGGGAGTGGGAAGGGGAGTGGAAATCGTTCATGCATGTGCTACCCTCTGGATGAAGATGCTGTACTCTGAAGAAGGCTGCAGGTAGAAGCCTTTAGGAGCAAAGCACGGAGATGTGGAGGGTGGGCACACAGAAGTGACCAGGAGGTCTAAGTGGAATACAGGGAGAGAAAGTTGGTTGTCATAAACTAGTAAACATAATAATAATGATCATAAAAATTAGAGGACTGATGTAGGTTGTCACATTATTTACTTTGCTAAGTAAGTACACGTTAAACACAAACAAATGAAATACATCATCTGTCATCACCATCATGTTATAAAGGAAACCTCAGTTTATACTGCGGAATTAGCATGATCAGAATCTTAAAGAATGGTTGGCAATTTTACATGAATATGTGTGCATAGTTTTATGTATACCGATACATTCCTTATTTTTCACATTGAGTCATGGAAATCTCCATCACATACTGTTATTTGGGAACTTACTGGACTCTACTACCTAATATTTTAATTGAGCGCATGGTTTTATGCCTACCTTAAGAGTTAGCAGACAAGAGAGTGTGTTGGAGTCGCTCAGGAATTTCTTGGCAGGAAATGGGCTTGTAGTCCCAGAACGTTCAAAATTCAAAAGCAGTCTTTCCCCATTGGGTCTAGTTGATTTTTTTGTTCAGTGAAGGAAGTAGATAAGTTACGAAGTTACAGGCAGTTCTATAAGATCTCAAAGTCTTCTGACTTCTTGCCTCCTGCCCTATTGAGAGAAAAGAAAATAGGTAGTATAGTGTTCTGTTCTTGGGGATGAGATCTTAATGGGTGCTTGTGTAAGAGTCAGAAAACAGGCTAACACAGGGTTGTACATTGGAAGAGAAAGACAGAAAAAGAAAATGACAAATTGAGGTCCTATTAAACTAATTGGAATAAAGTTATTTGGGGATAAAATTTAATGGTATGGATTTTTTTTTTTTGAGTGTTAAAAGCATTTAATTATGTAATACCAAAGTTTAGAAAGCAGGGATAAAGAAAGTGGTTGTCACGGAGAGAATTTGCTGCCAAAGGGAAGTTGCTTAAGCAGCAATTTCACCAATCGGTCATAGTCTAGCCCTGATTTTATAGGCCAGGAAGCATGATTTTGTCATGGAAGTCACCAGGCCCTAAAATGGTTGGTTCTTCTTAAAGCAGATGCTAGTTAGTTCCAATTAGAGATGGGCTGAGAGGCAGGGAGTGAGTCAGTATCCTATCAAAATACTTTTCTTTTATTCTCATTGGTTTTCCTCTTCTGTCCCTTTACTTTTTTTTTTTTTTTTTTTAATTTATAGGAGAGAGAGAGAGAGAGAGAGAGAGACAGCTTGAGCAGGGGAGGGTCAGAGAGAGAGGGAGTCACAGACTGAAACAGGCTCCAGGCTCTGAGCTGGCAGTCAGCACAGAGCCCGACGCGGGGCTCGAACTCACAAACCGCGAGATCATGACCTAAGCGAAAGTCGGAAGCTTAACCGACTAAGCCACCCAGGCGCCCCAGTGTCCCTTTACTTTTAGCTGGTGAAATGGAACAGTATTGGCAAGAAACTTCCTTTGTGCTGGCTACTAGATATGCTTACCAACCAGGAGAAGTTTTGGTTATAGGGAAGCTTTTTGCATCTGTGTGCTTGGCTTCGAACCTAAATATGTTAGAAGACTTGCTTTCTCTGGTTTCCATTGGTGAACAGCTATCTCACTTTCTCTTTTGTTTTACCTGTTGCTTCCTGGGAGCCTTGGAAGGACTTTCTCAATGGGGAAAGGAGATTGACAACACAGAGAGCCAGTGGCTTGTTTCTTTGTTTCCCAGAACTGGACACATAGTAGGCATTTCCAGAAAGGGAAGTTAAGTGGGCTGGTGAAGTGAATGCTGTTGGTTACCATCCCAGAATTAAGTGTTCCAAGCACAGCAAGAATGGGATTCGGAGCTGAATCCTCCATGTGTGATAGTGTAGATTTAAAATACTTACATAGGACATTGGAGATGGTCAGACTTGTCTGGTAGGCAAATACAGTGTGTGAGCATATGTAGTAAACTGGACATATGGACTATGGGGCACGATTTAAAGTGGTTTAATCTTTTTAACACTGCCCTAGGCTAAAGGTTAAAAGAGTTGGGGCCGTCTCTCAGAAGAGAGAGAGAGAGAGCACCCACATGTGTGCACATGTACATTTGTTTGTATTTGTTTGTTTTCATAGACTACGTTTTAAGATTCTGGCTTTAGTTTTTCAGAATAAAAAAACATTGGCATATTTTCTTGTTGGATAAAATAGATACTTTTCTCTTGCTAACTTTGAAATAATATATTGTAGTTCTATTAGGAAATTTTAAATGAAAATTCACTTTAATGCACACACCTCAGATCAATTTGTATTGATCTCATAGTTAATGTTAATTCAAATGGCCACAGACCTAGAAAATAATTTTTCTTTTTTAATTTTTTGTTACTTTTTAGGTTATCAAGAAAAAGTAAAATATAAATAACTAGTTTAGATACTTGGAAGTTTTTTATAGTTAGACATATTTTTAAATATTTCTAAACACTGATAAGATACTGGTATTCTCCTTTAAGTATACTGTCACACTTACAACTTAAGTTATATTTATAAATAAATATAGAATATTCATGCTGTATAGAAAGAGCAAAAATGATGCCCAAATAGCATGAGTCCTGATTTTCTGGAAAGCTTAAGGAAGTCACCTTGAATCATCATCTAACCTCATCCATTCTTCAGAGTAGTCACGGAAGACTTTAGTAGATTAATACCTTATTAAAATAGAATATTTCTGCTCTAGTGACTGCTTTCCTTTAAGCTTGAATTTGTACATTTATAATGTAATTTACATTATAGCATAGTTCAAACTACACATGAAGAGCTTGTGTTAGCTGTATTTATTTATTGCAAAGGATCTAGCAGAGATGATTTCTATGTGGCATTTTCAGTATTTTCTGTCAAGCTTCATACAAACCCCTCATTGAAGCTAAATAATCAAACAGACTGTGTTAGACCACATGTGTTGTGAGCCAGTACAGATTGTTATTTCAAAGGGTCCTGAGTGGTCCTTGTTTCCTAGACATGAGACATTCCTCTACCATCACCTGATGTCATTTTGCCATAACAACAAACAAAGGAATAAAACTGTTTACCTCCTTGGGAAATATACTGTTCAAAATTAGGAATGCATTTTCCTACCAGCACGGTTTTGAATGATTCATACTTCAGTTCCTTTACATGCATTTATGTAAATGCATAAGTTTTCGTGAGAGTGTTCAAATCAGTTCTACAGTTAGGAACCCTCATGATTTTTGCGATTAATCTCTAGGAGTGTGTGGGTCTAGGCTGGCATTCCAAGTGTGCTTTACCGCCGTGTCACAGGGAGAGGAAGATGCCCAGCCTGCTTTCCTTTCCTCTTTCTACCTGCCACAGTCTGCTCTACTCCTTAGAACTTTCCACAGTCTCACAAGCTAGGTTAAAGAGGGGGACCAGTCTCTCCACTCTTACTTTCATGTTTCCAGATATGGTGCTCACAGCCTCTTTACGTTTGATGAATTTTATTCGTAATTTTCTAGAGAGAACCAGCAATACTAGCAAATGTGACGTGATTATAAAACTTCTAATGAATGCGAAAGTTCCTACGGTAGCAGGTAGTGATGTGTCTACTGTAATCCCCCTGAGCTTCTGCTATGTGCTTTTTTATTCCTGCAGGTAGAAATTACCATGCTTCCTTTCTCCATTCTCCGAGGTGGGGCTGTATGCCCATCCTTGCTACCGTCTTGGCTGAAAGACCATTAGGGTACCTGCATATTGATAACTTTTATAGTTTTGACTCACACTCTTTTGTCTAGATCTGTTTCCTAAATGTCTTGCCATAATAAGTTTTTACTTAACTCTTAATAGGTCACTGTCAGGCCAAGGAAATGAACTGATAATGTATTACAGGAAAAAAACCTCGTATGATTAATAAGTTTATGATAATATTTTAAGCATTATTAGTAATAGTGAATTATAAATTATCATATGGAGATATGGATTACCATGAAATCAGATTATTTTTAAAAATAAATAATACTTTTGGTAGTCATCCTTATATGCTATTGGCATAAACTTCTTTGAAAGCAGTTTGTTATGTATTGAGAATTAAAAATATTCTTAGTCTTTGACATAAAATCTGTATTAAAAAATTCCGTAGCTAAAGTAAATAATTAGAAATGGAAAGATGTTTATTGAAGTATTTTTTATCTGTGTTTCTATTTTTTTTCTGATACATTTGGAAAGAGTATTAGAGAAATGGTTACTTATGACACATATGTGAGAATGTTACATATCTGATGATGCTGTGTTATGAGGAATCTTTATGTAATTTTGGAGAATAATTTTATAAGACTTCTATGAAGAGGTGGAATCTGAGTGGGCCTTGAAGAAGAGATAGAGATGGGCAGATAATTGCAAGCTGGACATTTCATTGTGGACATGAGCAAAGACACAAAAGCAGAAATAAGTTTATTATCTGGAAGGTAATGATTAATCTGGCTGGAAAGCGGAGTTCATTTTGGAAGAGTAGGAGAAGATGTTATTTATCTGTTATGTGTGAGGTACTTGCCAGATACGGACCGTATGCAGATGAGTAAAAGAGGAGAGCAATGGGAATTCAGAAGAAGAGCATAGAGAAAGGACGATTTCATAAAATTTTGACAAGATTTAATGACTGGATAAGAGAAAATCAAAGATAATTGAAGTGTTGAGTTCGTATGATGCCAGTAACAGAAATGGAGAAGCTGGAAAAGGAAACCTTGGTGTGATAAGATGATTTTAGTTTCCACCGTTGGATTAGGACATGTACACAGCAGAGCTTTATTCCTCCTGTGTGCCTTATTCTGACTTCAGTTTTCCTCTTTCTGTAAAACTGAATGGTGTTCTTCATGTAAAGCTAGCACTTCCAGTTTCTAACCGACCAATGTGGAATTTGCCAAGAAGGACTTTCTAGGAAGGTATGAAAATAATTTAAGTAGTACAGATACTTCAGGTCTATGACATTTAGTTTATAAATGTGTTTACACCCTGGAAACAACACTTGTGTTTGATTCTATTCACCTTATTTAATACCTTTGTGCGTCACACTGTAACATGTTGGGCATGGGGCCATAACCTTAAGGTAACAGTAAATCTCATTCTAAAGTGTATTATAGGTGAATTTCTTTCTTTGGCAGATGGGAGATTCTTTGGTCAGAGAGACCGACGAAGGTGAATGCTTCCCAGGCTCGCCAATTTAAACCTTGTATTAAGCAGATAAATTTTCCCACAAACCTCATACGGCTGGAAGTAAATAGTTCTCTCCTGGATTATTACACTGAATTGGATGCAGTCGTGTTACATGGTACAAAGGACAAGCCAGTGCTTTCTCTCAAGACTTCACTTATTGACATGAATGATCTAGAAGATGATGACTATGAAGAAAAAGATGGTTGTGGAATGGACAGTCTAAGCAAAAAGTTTAGCAGTACTGCCCTCAGGGAAGGGCCAAATAATGGATATTTTGATAAACTGCCTTATGAGGTAAGCCAGAGATAACCAGTAGCAATATTGGACATAACACTATAGTTTTTAAATGTTTAGGTATTAATGTTTATTTTGCTAGATATCAGAGAAATAGAAACATTGGTAAGGTGTATATAACCTGATGTATTATATACAGTTAACCTGTATATATATATGTATATATGTGTGTATATGTATGTATACATGTATATGTGTGTATATACATGCGTGTACATATATGTATACATGTGTATGTATATATATGTATAAACAACATGGGTTTGAAGTATGTGGGTCCACTTATATATAGATGTTTTTATATACATGTGTATGTATATGTATAAACAACATGGGTTTGAAGTATGTGGGTCCACTTATATATAGATGTTTTTATAGTATAGTACAATAAATGTGTTTTTGAAAATCTCAGGATTTTCTTAACATTCTCTTTCTCTAGATTACGTCATTGTAAGACTATAGTACATAATACATATAACATACAGAATGTATTACTCAACTGTTTATTTTATCTGTAAGACTTCAAGTCAACAGTAGGCTATTAGTAGTTGACTTTGGGGAGTCAAAAGTTATATATAGATTTTTAACTGGTAGAGGGAAGGCTGACACCCTTAACCCTTGCTGTAGTTCAAGGGTCAACTGTATTTTGACCGTGATAAAACTAGACAAAATTATGTTACGTAATTTTTTACCACATTACGTAATATGTTACCACTTTTGTTTTGCACTGGAGTATTAATAAGGCCTTGAGAGGGATGCCTATTCTCTTTGATAGTCCACAGTTTCTCCAAGTCTCCTTCATGCTACTATACTAACTCTCTTTTATATACTTCTGACTAGCTAAAATTTTTGGTGTAGGCAGGTGCAAAGTGCCTTTACTTAAAGCCTTATTTTCAATGTGTCTTTGCAAGGGAATTTCTGCGCCATATTTAGCATCACTGGCTCCCAGGCATCACATGCCAGAAGCACACCCTCTGGTGGTAGGGGGATCCAGCCAGGTGTTTCTGTCCTCTGCTGACAACTGCTGTGTGCAGTTAAAAATAATATAACCTAATCTTTTTAAGAAACATTTATAAACACAAATTTTAGCTAATTTAAACTGGCCCCCTTCCAAATTGGTGGGTATTTCAGGTTTCACTGTAGTAACACAAGTAGCATAACTTGCATAGAACAGTAAGATACTTGAAAGCCTAATGGTCACTACAATGCCCGGGCACCATTCTACGGTTAGAATGCCATCGCACATCCTTTGAAGTAGCTAGAGTTACCACATAAAGCTGAAGCGAATGATCCAAGGTAATTTAGTCAGTAAGCCATGAACAGGATCCCACCAGGGTCAAGTCTTGTGTTACAGAAAGAAGGCTTCACAGATCGGATAAGACCCTCAGTTCTTAATGGGAGGGCTGGGAAAAGATGAAGAGTTGAGCTGGAGAAAGAGCCGAGCATAGGGTGCTGACAAGGTCATTCCCCTAGGGCTTCAAGGAGCTGTCCTCACAAAAGTGGGAACAGTTCATCAGGAAGAAACAAAATCAGTTCTTTGATCTTATGCCTTTCTTAAAACTACAAAGTAGAAATTTAAATTCAGCAAATACATTTTGAACAGTGATTGAATTTTGTCCAGACCTGACAAAATGCTGATACATAGTATTCAAATGAATAACTGAGGGGAACTTCCAGCAGAGGGAAGAGAATATACAGATGGGATAGGAAGTGAAACTTTGTGACCTGTTTGGGACCAAGATGGCTGCAAGGGATACAACTGGGTGGAGGCTCAAGACTAGCTTGGTGCCTGACTCCCTAGGACACCGTTCGTGTAGATGACAGCGATGGGGACAGCCCGGCATTGGCAGTTTGGAGCCTGCATCACTGCTGCATCACTTTACTTTTGATGAAAAATTAGAGCAGATCCAAGATTATCCCTGTAATAGTTTCACACTCACTTTCTTGTGTTGTCTTGTATTCATAATGCCTTTCTGAGGGGGAGAGAAAGGTTGGAATAGCTAACATTCCAGGAATTATCCAAGATATTCAGGCACTTCTGCAAACATCTTGGCCCACAATTAGAATAATTGCCCAGGTGTTTGGCCTTCATGTAAATTTTGTCTTTCATATGTGTTCATGGTATAAAAAAGATAATGAACCTTTCTGTAGTCAGTTAAGGAAGCGTTGAAGGTTTTATTTTATTTATTTTAAAAACAAGAATAACAAAATGAGATTTCTTTCTTCGATTACTATGTTGGTATATGAAGAATAGAGCAAGAGGAGGCCTGGGTGAGAAGCAAGGACACCAGTTAGGAAACTACTGCCATAATTTAGGCAAAAAAATTGATGAAGCCTGGATACTGGAAGATGTGGAAAGGAGATGGGTAGGAGAAATATTCCGGAGATCAGGAGGTGGGAATTGAAAATTGTAAACGTTTATCTATTGATGAAGTGGAACATCAGAGACCCTTTTAGGTTTCTGGTCGAAATGACTAGGTGGATGGACATGCCATTAATCATGAAACAGTGGGTGAAGGTGAGAAGGATATACTGACTTTGAGGTGCCTGTGATTTATCAAAGCATCTCCACTGTCTGGTTGAGGACAGCAGACAGTATTTCAGTTTGATATGCAGGATGGAGGTCTGAGTTTACATTTGAGTGAGTCTTAAAACAGGAGAGGGACACCATGGTAGATAAAATTAACTGGTGATGCTCTGTAGAGTGGGAATAAAGGGCCACGGACAGAATTCTGAAAATAGTAACATCTAAGAGTCCCATAGAGGAAGACCTGTCAGAAGAGGCGCCTGGGATAAAGATAAGGGAGTCCTAGAAGCAAAGCAAGAGGAAGCCTAAAGGGGCATAAAAAACATTAAAAGGACCTAGTCAGCCACATTGCTGCGGAGAGCTAAGTCACACATGTCCCCAGGTTTTGGTTACTGGGAGATCTTTGATAATCCTTTACAATTACCAGTCCAGTGGAGCCATGAACATAAGGTGAGGGATGAGAAAATTTTGCCATATTTGGTTAAGGCATGAAGGAGGGGGAGAGAAGCAGAAACAAAAAACTGGTTACTCTGAGTATAAGCAGAAAAAGACTTCTGTTAATATACTCTGTTTTGGGGCTGTAACATGGCTAAGACTGTCCACCAATAATGAATAATATTGTCATCTTGACTAACTCTCCACCCCTTTGTGTGGCACTCAAAAAAAGCATATCAAAATGAGGGAGAGTATGAATTAGATATTATCTGTTGTAACTTGCCTTCTAAAAGGAGAAAAGACCAGTGGAGGAGGCGGTAGAGTAGGAAGGTTTTTGTTTGTGAATGGAGGTTGGGGGAGATTTCAGCATGTTTCTCGGCCAAGGGAAGGAGACAGTAGAGAGGGAAAGCTTCCAATACAGGCAAGGGGTTTGGTCAGTACAACAAAGTCATGTGAAGAAACCAGGAGACAGAATCTGTGGTTCTGAGGACATTAACCAGCCATGACAAAAGCAGAGGACCACTAAGAGAGAGTTAATGTTGCAGAGCACCGAATGATCTCACAGTAACTAAAAGGAAAAAATTACCCAGAATATTTTAAAGATAATCTAAATGAATTAAAGTGAAAAAAAAAAAAAGCACATTTAAACATACCAAATGAGTGTTTCCACAGTTGAAAATAAGGGCACAGTTGAGCCCTTCCCAACATCACATCCTACATTCACTCTGGCATCGAATTGTACTTCGTGCTGGGATACCCCTGTATAAAACATATAAAACCCTGTATAAAAACATGTTTTTATAGACGCTAGACAAATAATGATGAATGGGTATTCTCCTGTAGGCCTGAAACCTGCTATCTCTGATTTAATCAAAACCCAAAGTGCATTTTCATATGTGTCATGGTCTCAGTGACTTTTCATTATTCTTTTTCCATTTTGATATTTGCTTAAAATGTAATATTAAGTATCATAGAATGTTTTCACACAAAATATACATCTTTTAATATTGGTGACTTCTGTTTGGAACAATGCCAGAAGTTGTTGGGTGTTATTTAAATTACAGATCATCTGGAAAAAGTAAATTATAGATCCTCTGATACAGGGATATATTTAATTTTTAATGCCTTTTTGCACTAACTGCCTTTACAAATTCTCTTGAAATAAATTTTAATATTATAGTTAAAACAATGGAGTTTTAATTCATTCTACAAATATTTAAGGTCCTACTGTTGCCAAGCCCAGATGGCTCATATGTTCTTTCAAACATTTAAGAAACAGATAAATCTTATATTATTTAAATTCTTTCATGGTATAAAGAAACAGGAAATTTTCAACTTTTTATGAAGTCAGTGTAACATTATAGTACCTAACAATACCACAGACCAATTTTACTTCGGCAAAAAAATAAAATACATAGAAGTATTTTGAAAGATAATACAATAAAATCATTCAGCATGTATTCCTGGAATTCAAGAGTGTTTTGGTATTAGAGAATTATATAATAATACCATAGTACTAAGTCAAAAGGAGAAAAATCCTATATCATCTTAGTGGATTTACAAAATTGGCTGACAAATGACAGCTGGACAGATATCCAAATTTTTTATCTATCTCTGTTAAAAAATAAATACCTTGTTAAGCTATTGATAGTAATTGTCTACTGTCAAATATCATTAACCAAAAGCTAACATATTTAATTATCAAACACTAGAAATACGTTGTCCAGTATGGTAGCCACTAGCTACATGTACTATCGAGCAGTTGAAATATGGCTAGTCTGAATTGAGATGTTCAGAAAATGTAAAACACGAGATTTCAAAGACTTTACACGAAAAAAGGAATAAAATATCTCAGTAATTTTATATTGATTTACATGTTGAAATTATCATTTTTAATATATTATTAAATAAAATATATTTAATATTGCCTGTTCCTTTGCCTTTATTCTTAACTTCATCAAGGAATAGTTGGCAAATATAATTGTATATATATAAACTGTACAAAATGATGATTTTATATACATATACATTGTAGAATGATTACCAAGATTGTGAATAACATATATATCACCTCACATTGTTAACTCTTGTTTTTTGTTTGTGTTGAAAATGCTTAACATCTACTTTCAGCAACTTTCAAGTATACAATAGAGCATTAACTATATAGTCTTTTGACTTTTTAAAAAATGTGTTTACTAAAAATTTAAAATTATGTATGTGCAATCACATTTGTGGCTCACATTTAAATTAAAACCAGGAACAAGACAACAATGTTACTTAACATTGTTCTAGGTGTTCCAGCCAATGCTGGAAGATGTGAGAAAGAAAAGACATAATTTTTGGAAAGGAGGCTGTAAACTAATTATCATTTTTTAGATGATATGATTCTGTACTAGAATACTTAGTAGAATAGACTAAAAACTGTTAGGAACAGTAAGTTGGCAGGTTACAAAGTTAACAGACAAAAATCGATAGCTTTAGAAACTCTAGGAACATAAAAGACCCTTAAATGATAAATCATCCCACGCCCTTGAATAAGAAGACACAATGAAGTAAAGGTGTCAGTTTTCCTTTATGTATTCAATAAAGTCCCAATTACATACAGAATTTTTGTTTTTTAAATGAAAAGTTTACCTGATAAGAAAAACCATGAAAATACTCAGGAAAATTCTGGAAAAGAAGAGTGCTAGCGAGGGCACTAGTCCCACCAGACAGTAGGGCATATATGAAGCTACAGGACTGATATTTGTGGGCCAACAAAGAAGAAGATAGATTGTCATTTGCAACCAAACAATCCAATGCATTTCCATGCATAAACTTTTAAAAAATTAGAACAAAACTCATTTGACTCACAGGGCTATTGATATGGGAGAAATAATGTTTAAATAAATGGAACAGAATAGGATCCAGAAACAGATCAGCAGAAAAGTAAGAAACATTGGCAACTCCCTTGGCAAGGAGTTACATTTCTGTAGTTAAAAAAAAACAAACAAAAAAACAAACATCAGCAATAAAAAACAACAGTGCCACACTGCTTTTGTTCTTATTTCTTTTTTTTTTTTCCTTTTCTTTCAGAATGACAAAGTTTAAGGTATTGATACCAATGCTGTCTAGGACATCAGTGAATGGGTACTTTTTTTTTTTTTAAGTTTTTTGTTTTTATGTTTTATTTATTTCTAGGAGAGAGAGAGACAGCGCGAGCAGGGGAGGGTCAGAGAGAGAGGGAGTCACAGACTGAAACAGGCTCCAGGCTCCAAGCTGGCAGTCAGCACAGAGCCCGACGCGGGGCTCGAACCCACAAACTGTGAGATCATGACCTAAGTGAAAGTCGGACGCTTAACCGACTAAGCCACCCAGGCACCCCTGAATGGGTACTTTTTTAACTATTGGTAGTAAATTGATGCTCTGAAGGGCAATTAATCTGAGGTATAGTTGCACATTTTGCCAAGATATACATATGCACACACATGATGATATTGCAGTATCATTTGTAACAGGGAAAATCTCCCAGGAACCACATAAGTGAGAAATTAGTTGAATTGTATGCCACATTTTTAAAAAGGAATGGGGTAGATTTCTATGTACAGATAAAAAGATACCTACAAGATAAATCACTAAGTGAAAAAAGCAAGGTGTAGCTTTTAGTGCAAATCCAAAATAGTATTTCATACATATTTTATACATATTCATACATTAGATTTTATACATATTCATACATATTTGTCTGGAAGAGATCAGAAAAATGAACAGTGCTTACCAATGGGGAGAGGGTTTGTTGGATTTGAGAATAGACAGGGAGAAACTTCTGATATTCTACCCTTCAGTGTTTGGGTTTTTTAATGTTTTATCCCAATTTTCTTTTTTGTTTGTATGTATTTTACATGTCAACAGTTTACGTATTATTGGGGTGATGAGGTTTTAGACTAATTTTTAATTTCCTTATATTGCCCTGTTTTTTTTTGGTAACAGGTACCCTTAATAATTTTAAAGTCTAGTTCAGTCTTAAATATAAATAGCAAAAACACCCCAAGCCTCACTGAACACAATGTATATATTATATTGTGCTCATATTTTATGTACTTTTTATGCTTAGTTATCACTATTTATATTTTTTTGGCCTAAAACAGTGAAATTCTGACCTGAAATTAGTATTGGGTTTACGGAGTCAAATAAATAGAAGAACATCATTTGGGTTAAAGGGCGTATTTGCAAAACAAAAAGTGTAGTAGATAAATACACTACATTAAGCAAGAAACTCAATATTCTCTGTCATCTAAAGATTTTTACCATTTAGCAAATATTTGATCTTTCTTTGTGATTCTTGGTTCAGAATAGGCTATTCAGCAGTATTATTTTAGAAACCCCAATTGTGCACCATCAAGAAAAAACAAATCTTAAACTAGTTTGAGGAACTATTTTAATTAGAGGTAAAAATACTTGGATTCCTCCCATTTAATACTTTTTGTATCTGTTTGCTACTCCATCATCACCGCTAGCAGGTTCCTGGTTTTTCTCTTTCCTTCGGGAATTCTAATAGCTCCTTGGCCGCCCTCCCTGGCTCCTTGCCTCCCTGCCTTGAGTAGTACCCCCTGCAGTGAGCTTTCCAGCCACAGATCTGAGCATATCACCCTGCAGTTTATATCCCTTCAAGACTCCTTCTTGCTTTCAGAATAAATTCAAGCTCTTTGTAACCCAGTCCTTACCACTAACTAGTCTTTCACCTAGTTTGCCTCTTGCCGAGCCTTCCTCATGCAACCTCTCTTTGAGCTTAGGCTTTATCTCCCATAGCAGCCTATGCTACTCTTTTTCCAAGCTATTAAAATATGTTGTTGTACTTACCCGTTCCCACTGGGCCCTGCAAAACTCTGGAAGTAGGAACTCTCTTCTATAACTATGCTTGCTGTGCTGTAGATGCTCAATAAATGTTGAGTCAATGAACGATTGGATTGTAAACACTTTTGAAATGTAATACAGTCTTATGCATGTATGCTTTCTTCTGATTTGGAGAATTCTGATGAATCTTGGTTTATTTAGTATGTGAAGATACTGTCATCAAATGCGATACTATTGTTCTTCATCAGACCATCTAATATACTTACGTGATACTGTTTTTCAGTCTTGATGATCTTGGTTTTTCTGTTTGATGTAGCTCATTCAACTGATTCTGAACCAACTTACACTACCAGACCTGTGTAGATTAGCACAGACTTGCAAACTACTGAACCAGCATTGCTGTGATCCTCTACAGTACATCCACCTCAATCTGCAGCCGTACTGGGCAAAACTAAATGACACCTCTCTGGAATTTCTGCAGGCTCGCTGCACCCTTGTTCAGTGGCTTAATTTGTCTTGGACTGGGAATAGGGGCTTCATCTCTGTTGCAGGATTCAGCAGGTTAGTGCCAAGCCGTGTTGTGGTTATTGCTATGTGGTCTTTTCCGTATTCAGAGTGTGAAAGTATCTTTCATATACTATAAACAAATAAAAAATAAATCCATTTTGTATCATCATGTTCAGATGCTTCTGCTTATAAACATAAGTTTCATCATCCCCCTTCAGCTAAACTTTATAATAAGATGAAATGAAACTCTGTCCTTTGCCTCATATTTTTTAAATCCCAAGTAACTGTAAACAGAGCCCCTTTTTTTCCTTTCTCATATTTTCAGCGTAGATGATTAACACATTTTAAAAACTATTTCCAAATCAAAATCCACCTCTCTAATGTGATTTGTCAGAAATGGAAAACAATTTATTATAGAACATTTTTAATTAAATCTTAATTACATGTGCAATACATCACCCAAATTTAGAAGCTCATTTAAACTAATTATGTTGAAAATGGGATTGCATGCTAAGGAGACGACCACACTTGCAGACCTGCCCAGGTGTTTCTGCTCCTTTCTATTGAAGCGTTTCGTTTCCTTACTATTAAATATCACCTGTTAAACATTTGAAAGCTCGCACAAGTGCATATTCATTTAGTAATGCCATTAATTTTTCTTATGATACAAACAGGTGCTTTTCTCTTAACCTTGCTGAGGGTTATTCTCATTTTATGTTACACTACCATCATTTCATTAAGTTAAATAATGAAGGAGTAGAAACTTTGGGGGAAATTACCTGTTATTTTTGATTAATGAATAATCTTCTATCCTGTTTTTAGAAGTTAAAAGTGAGCAGCAGCTCTCCCTTCACACATCCTCAGTGGATACATTCTTGAACAGAGGTTTATGAATTAGAAATTTGTATATTGAGCCTTGTTTTCCCTTGACTAGACTATAAAAATAAAGATACAGTTCCAAAAATAAATATTTGATAGCATAAGATTCAGATGAAATAACTAATGTAACAATGTGCTCAAAGTGCTAATATTGATAGTTTATGCATCAAAGTAAAAAACACAAGCAGTGATGGCTTATGACACATGGTGAAACTACGGATGCCCCGAGTTCCTTTCTTTTCCTCCAAAAGTAGAGCCAGGGAAAGGAGCTCTTAGATAAAACATTATGGGATTGTGAGTCAGAGAGTATAATGATTTTATAACATGCTGTGTATACAAAATGGTTTCCATCATGTGAAGTTTCTTAAGAGATGTCTATGGTAGGGGTGCCTTGGTGGCTCAATTGGTTAAGCGTCCAACTTCGGCTCAGGCCATCATCTCACAGTTCGTGGGTTTAAGCCCCACGACGGGCTCTGTGCTGACAGCTCAGAGCCTGGAGCCCGTTTCAGATTCTGTGTCTTCCTCTCTCTCTGCCCCTCCCCCACTCATGCTCTGTTTCTCTCTGTCTCAATAATAAATAAACATAAAAAGACTTAAAAAAAGAGAGATGTCTATGGTAGAAAAGTAGGCATTTCGTTTTTGGTAGTGTGATTTTAGTGAATTTTTATAGAATCCACACTTTAAAAATTGCTAGACATTTGACAGCAGTCCAGTGGAACATGGCTTAATCCTTTCTGCTTCCCCTTGGCCCAGACACATACACTTCATTCGAAAATTGTCCTCTCTGCTGATAGGACCAGGAAACACGGAGGCTAACGATGACTGGATATTTAGACTAGTCAGATGACAAGGCTAACTGATTCTTAGAATAACTGTGTCAGTAAGCATTATTTTATATTTTAAGGACCTTTCAGGTATTTTAACTCCTCTGGTAGCTCTTTCCTCAATGTTTTCCATGACTGGGAATTTATTGTTTGTTTTCACCCTTTGTGTATAAGGAATTATAGTGAATGTTGTTGGCCACATCAAGAGATGTTTAACGTGGTCCCTATGTCCAACTACAGAAAAGATAAAGATATTTAGATTAACATGTAAACATCCTATATATTTTTACTAATAAAATAAATTAAATAACAGTATGACAGCTAATGAGTATAGACATTAAAGAAAACATTGGTAGGGAACAGCTGAAGCCCAGCTTCTTTGGCAAATATTGCATGTGACCCTGATATACTGAGTAAAATGTAACGGTAATATTAAATCATTGTTTTAAAACTCCTTTTATGTAGCTCATTCTGATGCATGAGCAGAGACGTAAGTTGTGAGAAGAAAGTTTGGTAATGCTACTTTTTAATTTTAGACTCATAAGGGATAAAGATCTTTTTGCAAGACTAAATCTCCAATCTACTCTCTCTCTGGCAATTTCTCTTCCATTTTCAATCCTGCCATGTTAGTTGCTGTGGGGCTGTTTGAATAATCACAAAGGTACATACATAAATTGAAGTGTTCCATATTTTACTGTAGTATTTCAGAGAGTAAAACTATAAATCTTGATAGCATTCCTTTAAGCATCGTCTTCATTCCCATTAACAAAATAAAAAGTTTAAATACCAGGGAGAGAGAATTCTTTTTCTGGGTGGGAGATATTGGAGTTTTGCTTACTGATTGCTGTAGGCCCCCTTGACTTGACTGCCGAATTGATAGTCATTATGCCTTGTAGGCAGCATTCCCAGAATAAACAATAAATATTCATGGCTTGATTATTAATGAATAATCTATGAATAAGTATGGTCTATTTATGCTCATTACTGTGAAGAAGACTTATTTATGATACTTTAAAGAAAAAAAATACATTTTTAAACTAGAGACCAGTGATGATGAGTAAGTCTGTGGGAAAAGTTTGATATGGCTTATTTTGTTGCCAAAAAACCTTATCCTCACAAGTTGGAACTGTTTAACTGGATTTCAAAGAACTTTTTAGGAATTTATATTATTCAGAAGAGCAGGAAAATAGGTTGAATTGGAATAACAAGAACTTAAAAGTTTTAATCAGTTATTAAAATCCTGTTCTATCCCCAGATTTGTGATTTGCAACTTCAAGTACTGCTCATGCATATCATTACTCATTAAAATCACATCTTTCATAATTCCACTTTTCTGTTATAATACATTTCCCTAAAGTCTTGGATATTTCTTTGCCCCTCCACCCCGCTGCCCTGGCCTGTTTGTGCTTTGAGGCTTCATCATATCACTCTGATGCTCAAAAAAGCCTTAGGTTTATTTTTTTCCACTACTGTTTTTCTTCAGATAGTTGCCTAAATTCAACACCTTGGTCTCCACCTTAGCTATGTAGAGATTTTTACCCCTGACTCCTCTCATTGTTTCCTTCAGAAAACATTGTTGGATGCTTTTTAGATTCTAGAACTATATTCGATGTCTTGACACAGGCTACAATTTTATGGGATAAAGAGCACATTGCCTGTTTGTTTATTCAGTTGCCTACCTATGCTTTATACAGCTGTCTCTTTTAGCATGTCCAATTCCCAGAGATTTGAGACGATTTTAAAACTTTTTTCCCCTGCCAACAAGTTTTGTTTTTAATGGCTTTATTTTGGATCAGATGTATTAAATAATGTTCCAAATTACATGGGATTAAAGATTATCTTAAATATGTTGTTTTATAAAACTCAGTGAGAGTCCGTTAACAAAATATACCATTAGGAATCAGAAGCCATAGATCTTTATGTTTAATTCTCCCCTTACCTTTATACATCAGGCAAGTGTGAGGATTAGTGTCTTTTATTTTGATGAATAAAAATCATAATAAATCATTCATTCATGTGATTTTATTATTTTAGGCTGCAAGTTACCATTTAGTAAATTACTTCTTATGTACTTATATTATTCTGGACAAATTAATTCACCACATAAGGATAAGCCATTTATTTATTTTCTGATAGCAGGAGACCTAGTTTGGGATTGTTCATCTGAACTCGTCTTCTCATAATACCCCTAATATCAAGACATAACTTTATGAGAATTCATACCATGGAATGAATAGGCTGTAGGAAATAAAGAAGCTGTAGTTCTTGTTTTGGGTGGCCAGTGTCACAATTGAGATGAATGAATAGATGACCAGAACAAAAGCATATTGTAATTATGCACTAAAATAAAACTTAAATCAGGAGCATTAAGGAAAGAAACAAGAGTTGCATTCAGCTAATTAATCGACTCTGCTGCTACTTCTGCCTTCTTGAACTGGAGAGATAATGAAAAATTCGATGGTGTAGATCTTATAAATTTAGGAAAACAGAGGATGGGGATATTGACTAAATAATCTACTCAGAGTAAAAATATGCAATATAGAAAAGAGAGAGGAAAGTTGGAAAGGTAGCATAGGCATGTTCGTTATCTTCATTGTGCTTCTCAAATTCTACCATTCATTAAATCAATTTGGGAAGTTTTCTAGTCTGTTAACCGGTTGGTTTTCTGCTTATTGGTCTGATATCACTATAAAGTTCAATAATGAGAGTAAGGAGAAAAGGGATGTCCAAGTATTCCAAGTCCAATATGAGAAAGAATTATAGAACAAAGTGCTTTACCAAATAATGAAGACCTTCAAGAGATAAGATGCCTAAAGATTTTAAGAGTTAATATGCTCATTTAACTTTTATAATCTTCAAATACTTGTAGAAGTACCAAATCTAAAAAGGATAGTCTTTGTTTTTCTGAAACCCTACATCCATTTCTAGGTTGCTAGTTTATAAAAATATGAAGAACCACCTTTAACTATTATTTTTACACCCAAAGCTAGGTAAAAACTGTTAATTTTGTCCTGTGTCTTGGGAATAGCTTAACCCTAGTAAAGGAAAAATACTGAGTCCACAGAACTTAGTCTGTTCCAGAATAGAGAAAATGTAATGCTTCAAGTAAATTTTCATAAGTGGAATTTGAGGCAACTTAGAAAGCTCGACGTAAATAAATTAAGGAGGAAATTGTGGTTAAGAGGGGAAAAAAAAGTAGTAGTTGAGGAATAGATGAGCCTGAGTTCAATTTAGCACATAGGAGTTATGTCATTATTTTATTTATTTATTTATTTATGTTTAATTTTTAAAAATATTTATTCATTTTGGGGAGGGGGAGGGGCAGAGAGGCATAGAATCCAAAGCAAGCTCCAGGCTCTGAGTTGTCAGCACAGAACCCGATAGGGGGCTCAAACTTGTGAACCATGAGATCATGACCTGAGCTGAAGTTGAACTTAATTGACTGACCCACCCAGGCACCCCATCATAATTTAGTACACATTGCCTATATTTGAAATAGATCCAGAACTTGAATACTGAGCACCACATTCAGTGCTGCCACCTGGATCTAGTGCACCGTCTTTGCTTTTCTGAATATTGTAGTGGTGTCCTGACCGCCTCCCCTGTTTTTACTCCTCTTCCCCTTCAGTCTGTTCCCTGCATAAAAACGAGAGTGATCCTACTAAAACACAAGAAGTTTGTGTCACTTCTCTGCTCAAGACCCTCTGATGATGGAGAATGCCATCGCCCTCAAAATAAAAGCCAAAGTCTTTATGGGACATACACTGTATGCATTGCCTCTTGTCTCTCTGACCTGCTCCTCATCTCCCCCTCACTTTGTATCTCCTGAATTAGTCTTTTTACATTTCCTTACTCTGTGTAGTATCCTGCCCCAGAGCTATTATGCTTGCCTTTCCCTTGGCCTGGGATGCTCTTTCCCAGATACCTGCTTTGCTTATACATGTACTTCCTTTGGGTTTTGACTCATCTTCTCAGTGAAGCATCTCTGACCACCCTGTCTACCCTTGCTACTTCCCATTGTCCTTTCCCACTTTTCTTTCCTCCTTGATACTTTTCACTTTTTTTTTTTAAAGTGTATTTATTTTGAGAGAGAAAATAGGATGGGGCAGAGAGAGAGGGAGAGAGAATCCCAAGCATAGTCAGTAAAGAGCCCAGTGTGAGGCTTGAATTGACGAACCGTGATATCATGACCTGAACCAAAGTCTGATCCTTAACCTACTGAGCCACTCAGGTGCCCGGACACTTTTTACTTACTATTTTAGTTCTTTATAGCCTGCCTCCTACTAAAATGTAGTAAGCTGGTTAAGAGCAGGGACTTTGTCCACTGCTAACTCCCCACTGCCTAGGGTAATGCCTAGATCATAACAGGAGCTCAATAAATATTTGTTAAATGAATGAATGCACATGATTGATGCAAATTGCAGTTTACCTAATTCAACTTAACAAAGGTAACAGTAGTGAGACAGGTTTAAAGAAATCCAGGGAAGAGAGTAGCTTGAGGAGTGTCAGGACATTTTTAAGGAAGGGGTGGGGTAGGCAGTTGTGCGAAATGCCACAATAAGTCAAGTAATTCAAGCACTGGAAAGAAAGGGCACTGAATTTGGCATTTAAAAGGAAAGGGTGAATTTAGGGAGAACAGAACACATATTGCAGCAGATTGAGAATAAATGCTGTTCGGGTATAAATAAGGTATGTGGGCAATAGTTATTTTCAACATTTAAAATAAATTTGTAGTAATTGAATTTCTTATTATTGTTCGAATATGGGTTGGCCAAGATTTAACTTTTATTTTAATGTTCGTGGGGTGCTTTGACCTTTACCAACTGCTTTCACATATTGTTTGATGTTCAAAACCATGAGACAGTGTGGTGAGTGCCGGTATGTAATTCCCGTCTGCTTTTTACAGCTGAGAAAATGCTGAAACTTGGGTAAATGCCTTTTCCAAGGTCACATGCTTGGAAATGGTAGAACAGGGCAAAAAATGAATCCTTTAGTGAGTGATTGATTTGGTCAGTTTTATTTTATATGTGTATTTGAAAGCTAATTAATCGATTTAGGAAAAAGATGTGGCATAAATAAACTAACGGTATGTCACTGATGTGACATTGTGATAGGCAAGAAAATGCCAAGAGTCCTGGATGGGGATGATTTGGTGCACTTAGGGTTCAGTTTGCTTAGGTGATGATAGAGTTTCATGGATTCAGATACTCTTAGACTCACATCTACTTTTATATTATTTTCTGATGATGATTATGGACAGGATTATTTCCTGTGCCCCCCACCCCCACCATCTGTAATGCAATTAAGATAAATGTTGTTATTGCCAGTCTGATGCAGAATTTTATGTCCACCATGTTGAATCATTTCTGTGTACTTTATAGGAAGCTGCAATTGAATATCCTGAAATAGTTTCAACATCAGTGTGGTAAATAGTAACAAATATAAGGAACATTACAATGGTGCGGTTAAACCAATTCCACATTTCCATAGTTAAGAGGAGGTTAGTCTCATTTATTTTGAAGTCATTTAATTAAAGCTTTCACTTTGTGTGTTATATTCAAAGTAAATTATCTAGTACTGAATGGATATTGTTTAGGGGGAAATAACTTGTAAGAGTTTTGTTATGTTTTTGGATTTTGCCTCTACAAACTCAGGTGTGAGTTTTAGTTAGATAGGAGAAATACATTCTTTGCTTTCTTAATTTTTCACTTAGCACTGGCTGACTTTTTATATGATGTGAATACATCTTATCATCTCAGGTTAATTTATTTTAGCTTAATCATGCCTATTTCGGTAAGCAGTAAATGAGAATTTAAGTGAAACGAGTTTTACATTTTCCCTAATAGAAATCCTTCTTCTGAAAGTGTCTGTTAAGAGTTGAGGTAATTCCAGTGTACCTGTAAAAGTATCTTACTTTTGCAAAATTCACATGGAACACTGTTTTTACAGGTTTCTGAAGGTTTGCGGATCTGAATTAGTGCGTCTGGAATTATCTTGAAGCCACTTTCTTAATGAAACTTGCTTGGAGATTATTTCTGAGATGTGTCCCAATTTACAGGACTTAAATCTCTCATCCTGTGATAAACTACCACCTCAAGCTTTCAACCACATTGCCAAATTATGCGGTCTTAAAAGACTTGTTCTCTATAGAACAAAAGTAGAGGTAAGAATAACCATTCTTTACATCTTTGCTAGTGTGATAGCCAACTGAATATTTAGTTGCCCGTAATTGCTCATGATAATGTGCTTTCTGATTTTTAAATAGATTATGATGCCACCTGATTATTCTAAAATCAATAGAACTGATTCAGTCATTTTAAAATTATTTAAAGAGTATCATGTTGTTTTTATAATTATAGGAAAAGGTTCTTCTTCTCTGTGCTCTTAAAAGTTTTGTAATACTGTTCATGTTTCTGGGTAAAGAAATGAGCCATGGGCTGAGATGAGCTGAAATGCTGGCAGGGAATGAATTAGAGAAAGAGGTAGAATGATAGTATTCAGGAGGAGTAAGAAGCAAAGTGGAATTTATCCAGGGCCAGACTTACAAGTTAAAATTCTTGATATCATATTTTAGGAGTCTCATTAATGAAAAATGGAATCTTGTCATGTATATTGACCTTCTTGCTTTTTTCATATAATGACTCTAAGACTTCTTTCCAGATCTCTACTTTTACCACCTGACTCTTTTCATAGACTGTACGTAGGTTAGACCATAACCTATTTAGCCATTCACCAAGTGATCAACATTCAGGTTTTTCCAGTTGTTTTCCTTTTACAAACTATCTAGCAATAATATTGTTTTGGGGAGAATTTTGCATATACATGCTGTTACTGCTATAGGATATAATCCTGTAAGTGCTATTACTGGATCAAAGAGTATGTGCCTAGGGCCCTGTAGGGGCCACTTACTGTCATATACTTGTTTCCTTTTCTTCAGTCATGTTGTTCTTCTTTCTATGACTTGAACATTCTGATCTGGTCCCAGCTCATGGCTCTTACTTTTCTGCTGTCTAGAATGTTTTCCAGCTTATTACATGGCTGCCCTTTTCTTAGCTCAGTGTTCAACTCAAGTATTTTTTTTTTTTCAGAGATTACTTCTTGGACATTGATAAAAAGGTAGCTCCCTTTCTGGTTCATTTCTTTCATGTCGTCCAGTATAATTTCCTTTCTAGCATCTATATCACTCTGAAATGATTTTGTTTTTTTGCTTATTATCTGTCTCCTTACACTGGGATATAAATTTTATGAAACTAGGAGCCTTGTCTGTCTTTTCATTGCTGTGTTTTCCAACATCTAGACTAGTACTTGGTAAAGATTGGCTCTTTGATAAATATTTATTAAATGAATGAAAAAAATAACCAAACTACTTTTCCATAGTGGTATATCCATAGCCTTCCCACTATAGTGAACTTCTGCATGTCTTGAATGTTACCTTGGTCAACTTCTTGTATTTAACTTCTGGTGTTTCAATTTCCTTTTCTCTAAAACGGAGAGAATAAAAATACAGATCCCAAGGTCATTGTGAGAATTAAATTACATGTAAAGTGTTTAGAGGGTGCCTAGAACATAGTACACTCTCAATAAATATTAGCTGCAAGTAACAGCAGTAATACTAATAGTGTCATCATGGCAGTTTTGTAGCATGTTTTACTTTATGGTAGGAGAAGTCTCACCTCTTCTTTTAAACATTTTTTTTTTAATCCTTGTATATTCTTCTGCCACTTTTACCTTTCAGCAAGGATTTTATTAGAAATGCATTCATTTTATTTCATTTTACTTTTTAATAAGACTTCCTGTCTGTTCATGTTGGTCTTGCTTTATGTCCAAGAGCATAGTATAGTTTTTTTCACTTAGGTTTTAAATCTTTCTGGTTAAAAGATTTATCTCTTGCATCTTATAGTCTCAGATACTGTTTTCTATTTAATTTTAATAGGTTATTGTTAAGGCTTACTGTTTTTTTGTATATTTATCATGTATCTGGTCACTTTACTGAATGCTTATAATTGTTCTAATTTTTGTTTATGTCTTTTGGATTTTCTAATATGATTACATATTCAAAATTAATACAGTTTTTCTTTCTTTTTTAATACTTAAAGTGTTCTTTTATTAGATAGAAATTAATAACTAATGTGGAACAATAGAGTCATAACAGGTATACCAGTGTTCCTTTTAATGTGGTGAGAATGTCTTTAATGTTTAATTTTACAAACATCTATACGACAAATATTTGATATCTGTTAGGTGCCTAGGTACTGTTTTAGGACTGGAACTTTAGTAATGAACTAAACAGGCAACTCCTCATGCAGCTTAAGTTTATATGTTGCTTGATATTGCTTTCTGATAAGTAGTCTTTATCATTTTTGTTTAAGAATATTTTATCAAAAATGTATATTAAGCCTCCATCAATATAATGATACGTGGAATAGTCGTTGCATTCCTACATGATTTTAATTTAATACAAAGCTGGGTTAATTTCCTAATATTTTGGAGCCACATTACCTGAGTTTGAATTAGCTTTATCACTTATGAATTGCCACCTTGAGGAAGATTCATGACCTCCTGTGCTTCAGCTGTCCCTTCTGTAAAATGGAGATAACAGTAGTATGTACCACAGAGTTTTCTTGAGGATGAAATGATTTAATATACATGAAGTTTTATAGCAGTGCCTGGTTCATAGTAAACATCTTTTAAGGATTTATACTTATAAATAATTTTTACATCTGTTTTCTTAAGTGAGATTGAGCTGTGGTTTTCCTTTTCATGCTGTTTTATGGTTTGGGGCTAGGATTGTGACAACACAGCAAAATGATTGGGGAAACTCCCATTTTTTTCTTTGATCTGGAATAACTTCAGTAGATGGGAATTATCTGTTTTAGAATTTACCTATAAAACCATCTGGGTATATAACCTTTTTTATTGGTAGATCAGAGTATATACCTTTGTATAGACATGGTGTTTTTTCCAATCTCTGGAAGCCTGAAAGCATGTGAGAGTGTAAGAGCTTCTGTTTAATGTAGTATTTTCAATTTTGGGCACAATGTCTAGCCAGAGTTTAAACGGTGACCTGGTATTGTGGGGAGAAGACTGATTCTGGTTCTGGCCCAGTGACAGTGGTCTAGGTTGAGTCCCATAGTCTCTCACATTCCCAGATTCTTCTTTTGTAAGACAAAAGGACTATTGTCTCTGAATGCCTGTTTAAGTATAGTGTGAGCCCAGGTTTTAATTGGCCTGTCTTGAAATGACTTACCATTTGTGAGTGTAAAATGTCACCTATCTTCTCTTGGGTAGGTCTGTACCTTCTTAAATTATGCCATACCTTATTTTTACTGACATATTAACTATTTTATTGGCCAATGTACTATAAAGTCTGAGATCCTCTGAGCAAGATAATGCCTCATTTAAAAATTTTCCGGTGAAATTTAACTTTAAGAAGAAATATAGCACAGTTAATTATTCAGTGAATCTTCAGGAAGAAAGGTAGGATAAAAACAAGAAATAATACTAACTTGCTAGGCACCTTACATCTATGACAATTTTTAAGAATCACTGGGCTCTACTCCGGAAGCCAAGACTATGCTGTATGTTAACTAACTTGAGAATAAAAATTAATTAATTAATTAGTTAAAATAAATAAGATTCCTTAAAAAAATGTGTATTCTATGGGATGCTTTTGAAATGTTCTATATTAACATGATCTAAGTGTTAGGAAATCATGAAGTAATCCAGTTTCCTTTTATTTACCTCAAAAACCTGATAGAATACGACTATGTATTTTTAAATTCATTTTCTTTTGCTTTTATTAGTTTCAGGTATACAATAAATGATTGAACAATTCTGTACATTAGTGCTCATCCTGTTAAGTGTACTCTTAATCCCCTCTTCCGATTTTACCCATTCTCCCATCCACCATCCCTCTGGCAACCACCAGTTTGTTTTTTATATTTGAGTGTTTTTTGTTTGTTTGTCTCTTTTTTCCTTTGTCCATTTGTTTTGTTTCTTAAATTCCACATACGAGTATATTTTTTAAGAAATGTGATTTACAAAAGCCTGAGAAGATTTCCTATCTGCAGAGTAGAGATCTATGCATATCTAAGTCTAGATGGCAAACATCATCCCAGCTTCCCTCAGTTACTTAAACACAAATGTAAAATCATTGCATGAATGTATTAAATAAAATTTATGTTGTACCCTCTCCTATTAAAGTTTACTTGCATTAGTCCCCTAGTCTGCTGAAATATCATAAAATAATTTATAAGTTTATTTTATACAGTTTTCTGACATTGAGTATGTAAAAGATTTATAAAATTACATTTTAACGATTTACAATTAACAGTAAAATAAAAATAAATTCCACTTGAATAATGTAAATGGGAAAATTCAAAATTGGGAAACACTTACCCAGGTAGTGTTTACTTTTACTCAAGTCTGTTTCTCAAGTCCGTATTCAGTGCTCTCTACTTATACTCTATTATTCACTTCTAGTGTCTTCTCATCCTTGGGGTCTATTTCAGATGCTGACGTGGGTACTCAGTAGTTCACAGGAATAAAGGGAGAAGGCATCACAATCATCTGGTCTCTCTTAAAACAAACAGAAACTACAACAGTGGTATTCATTTTAATCTGCAAATACCCCCGCTTGTCACTTAAGCAAAGCATTATGTCACCCCCTTCTTTCTTCCATGAATGTACACTTCCTGTCCTACACTCAGCAATGTTGGTGGATGGAGAGCAAATGGAATAAGACAAGATTTAGGGGCTTGGCTTCTCTCTGAACCTCCCGTGTAATCATTGGCAGTACATTCAGATGTTATAAACTGTTTTGAAAAAAAGGAACAGCAATTAATTTTAAATGCCTCTGTCTACTCCAAGGAAATATATGAGAAGAAAAAGAAGATACAAATTTGAACTTCCTGGGAGAGGTGTGTGTGTGTGTGTGTGTGTGTGTGTGTGTGTTTAACAAGCAATACAAATTATCCAGTGCCACTTTTATCTGTTTTTCTAAATTCTACAAATTTCTAAAATAAGCAAAAATTAGTGGTATTAAATGTTGAGTTGGTTATAGCATTTCACTTCAGAGAGATTAGATTTATGATGTGGTAGAGTTATACTTTACAGGCCTATATATAATTTATACTAATAAGCACAATACATCTGTGCCATTTT